GCTGGCAGACGACGTCCTCGTCTCCAGCAGTGCTCCTTTCTACGACAAAGTGACGATTTGACTATTCAACCTAATGCTGTTTAGGCTACATTCAAAAGCCAAACAATCCGTTTTATTTATGGTCGTGTTGTGCGGCCACAATACCACGAGATGATTTACATTCTGTTTTAGGCTGTTTCATTTCCGGTAAACAACTAAAGGGATATTGCTTCTCAAATCTCTACTTTGCTGCAAGCAACATATGAGTCTCCATGTATGTCTTTAAAGATACGTAACAACAGTGTTATATCTTTATCGTCGTAGGTATTCGATATAAATAGGTACACATTTTAAAGATGTGCTTAAAACTAGGATTAACAATGTAGGTATGTTTGTGAATCACAAAAAAAACAACGATTCAACTTCGTTGCTACTGAGTTCTAGTTAGCATTTCTTGTATTCCCTCCTAAGTCATAATTATTGTATGTCTAGCTTTAGGGAGACAGGACCGCCCCATCTATTAGCTTCACTTTATCTGTTCGGATGCTCCCCTCAGTTGAATTGCCGGTCGCCAGTCGCCACTAATCCGGCGGGGAAGTGGCTAAATATCTTGTGCAAATAAACATTCAGCTTGTTCCATTGTCAAGGGACGCCCGTAGCTGTTACGAATCGGATTATGCACCGTACGGTAGCGTTATCATCCGCGCCAAATTAGCTCCCGCAAAAATAAGGATTTGTGTAATCCGTAACAAAAACGATTACACTTACCTACATTAATCTTTAATTTCATCTTCGTATTGTGTATTTGAAGATTTTTATATACCTGCCACTGCGGATACCCATTATTGATTTAATCGTACATGATTTGATGCTCAAAATCGAATTTATGTCAATGACAGAAGAACCTCAAAGTCGTCCATCTGTTCCCGAGATGTTAATTATCTCTGTGTTTCTGACAACCCTAAAATATTAAATTATACCTCGTCATGGTAATGTACCACTCTACCGTTTTCGATTAACAATCACAAATACTTGAAATTATGAACAATGCTAAAGCACAATCATTGTAAGTTCGACAGTAAGAGGTCTCCGCCTTGTCACAGATCTGCCACTCCCACTCATTGCGTACATTTCCACATAGGTATATTCTGTGCCATTAAACTCTTATGGTTATCGTTGTCGTATCGCATTTTTATCTAATACATTATTGCGATTATAGAAATCTACAGTTTTTTATTATTAGGGAACTTTAGAAGGTATTGTGTCATTTTTACGTTTTTGAGGTTACTTGTGTTTTAATGGGAGTATAGTGAAATTAGTTGAGAGTGTAGTTTTGTCCAGGACCAGTTTTTTACGATAAAATCAAGTTACAGGAGGAACAAGTCATGCGCCTGGGGATAAACGACACAGGTGTCCAATAGCAGCTGCAGTACCACACAGGTTTTAGATCGCAAATGTCTGAGTGGCGCTGCTACTGCGCCCGTCACCGTGAGTCTCTGCCTGTAATTTTACCACCACCTTACCCTCAAAACCGGAACGTAGTAATGCTCACATTACTGCTTGGCGGCAAAAATAGTTAAGGTGGCTATACTGTGCTGCACTAATTCTTTCACAAGGAGCTCTACTGCTTCCATTTAGTTCTTCCTTGTGCACGCATTATAAATTTTGCTGATTACTTCTTTGTATATTCCTACTACAACAGAATGTGACTGTTGAATATAGAATTTGCATAAAGGCCACGGCAACCGAGGATGAATTTGGGAGAGTAGGATGACGCTGCACATAGCGCGGAAGGCCGGGCTAGCTCCATGCCTATTCATGAACGGTGACGGCTGCGCCCGCAGCCCCCGGCTCCCCAACCACATTTGAATAAATACAATTAACTTGTTTGTTTTATACTCGCCCTGTTACGCCTCTCCGACCTGGCTTTCCGGCGCGCGACACATTTGTCTCCACGTCGCCGTCACTCCACCGATGTTTGTACTTTCTCATCCTCCGTTACATTTAAACGACCACGCCATCACTGGCAAAATTGAAAACTATTTTGTAATCTGAATAATATTCAAATTGCGGCTAATGGTGATATTCGGCAGTGTCGGCAGCTCAAAGGCGAATTCTCTCCCCGCACTGTTATTATCTCAACACCATCGCACTCTCACCTAACCCATTCCTTTTTTACCAGACGCCTGCATCTCCTTCCATCCCTGCCGGGATGAGCGGGACCTTCAGTCATTTATACTAAACTCGACTCGGGGGCGTTCCTTCGACGATTTATCATTTAGCGTTGCCTACAGACATTATTTGAAACGCATTAAAATCGCGGTTGTGGAAAATTTGTCGGCATCGAAATTAGTACTCCTCTCCGAGTGCATAATTTATCGCTTTAACCGCATCCGGTGCTCGTGCTGCGATACTTCTAATTAGAAATTCATTGACGTTGATGAGCCAACTCCTTGATATGATTATGGTAGTTCATCATTTAACTTGCCTTGATTAAATAGCTCAACTTATCAAACATGAAGATAAATGGTCATTAATTAACTTGGACATCGATGTACTCGCTATATTTTTAAATTGTAATAGTCACCACATACTTTACAGGAATTGAGTGAAGACATACCAAATATATTCATATCTATTGAGATATCTACATTTATTGCTTCACAGACTCTCGATCTCGACAAAAATAGTTTGCACTTAAAGAACCTGCGCCTTTTTATATGATCATTAATATTTCTAGGCGCGTGATGTTCAGTTAATTGACTGCAGTAAAGCAAAAGGGATTTTGCTCGTAGCTCGTAGACCGACGCAACAGCATCGGTTGCGCAGCGAGGACCGTCCAGTGCCCTGAGGAAGCTGTCACGCGCGGCGCGAACATGTGATGAATATGTATCGGCAGACTGTAGCGGCGCCTTGTAATTTGAGACTCGCCGGTAATTATTTACGTGAGAATGGACCCTGTTCCCCCGCACGCCGCTGGAACGAATCGTTGATTGCGCGCGAGTCAAGATGCCGCAGCCAGATTGCTGCTCACGCTCCACTGCCCAGCATTGAAGCCGCTTCTTGCCGGCCGACCGCCGACATCACCACCACATGAAAGATACTATTTGAACACTTATGGCGTAAAAGTTATTCATGTTTTATACCAGCAATATTCAACGTTCCTCTTAAAAAAAATCGTCATATTTTTGGTAATTTTCATCCAATTTGGTCTTAAAGTATTAAAGACTTCAATTTCATAATCGTTCTGATGCCAGTAAAAATTAAAGAAAATGTGATAGGTAATTTGCCACCTTATCTAAACTTGCTGCCATATTCAATATAAGGGTGACCAGAATATCTGTTGCACTGCTAACGAAGTGTAAGCAACCAAATAAATTAAAAAGTATTTACACGGTGAACAGTGAAACAAAAGGATAAAAGTTATCACATCTTATTAACGCGGTATGTAATTTAGCGGGAAATAGGAAAGGACAGCAAGATATGAACACGGCAGCTCAAAAATAATATTATTTTTGTTCTTTGCAAATCGCTCAGCGGCGAAGTGACGACGGTTGTTTTGACTGGTCCTGACACTTGCGTGCAAAACAGAAGCCACATTGCTAATCTGAGTAAAACGAATGAAAACTTTGCAGACAATACTTATTAGCTCAATATTTTTAAAATGTGCTGCTGAGCGTAACAACAAAAAGATAAGGCAAGCAAGTAATGATGTTCATTTATTAAAAAAATTAGGCGTATGCTTTTTGAATAATGTTTGATTTAGGTACATATATTTAATATACCTAAGTACATAATAAATAGATATTACATTTCTACGCTACTTGTTTGAAGCAACCTGTATTCACTGATTTTATCACCACTTAACTTCGAGTAGTAGTAATTGGGTAGCTGGTGTGTGCAATTAAGGAGCAACTAATTAAATAATTTTTAATATATACCTAGAGTCCTGACTTTAATCATATTGATATGTTTCACGGTACATGTGTTGGGGATATAAACTCCACCTACCAGCATTATTCGGAACTAAAACAAGCCGGTTTTATTTACCTACTTTTTCAGGTTTTACACCGTTCCTTTACCTTATTTTGACAAAACATGAAATAGAATGGAATACCTACGAAATAAAATTTCAATTTAACATCTCTAAACCACTTACGGTACAACAACAACTTATTAAATTGGGTGCTTTCAATAACTAGACTCTTCATGTTGGTGGCGCCCCGTTGCGCCGGGCCCCTAAACATACACAGACCGCGGGGCGCCGCGCCCTGCCTACCTCACCCTATCCACTAATAACACCGTCTTTCCCTCTGCCATGCCTTATTTCATCCGAACGTCTCTTGTTTTTTCCTTATACTCGTTTTTTCAACCTGTGAGCCAACCTCGAACATTAACAATAAAACGATTCCTTGATGATAGTAATCCTTCATCTTCATTGTCTTTTGGCAGTTTCGTGGAATAAAATATGTTGTGCTGTTGCGACGTGATATCTGAACGTCGTGTTATTAATGGCGTCATTTAAAATGTTTTAATACCATCTGCATCGAGACAATATTAATTTAGTATGGTTGAGTTGAACGGGCTGGTGCCACCGATGGAATGTTAAATGACGGATTACCCGTGTCGTGGCGGAGATCGAAAGATAACCACCAATAGATCTTGTACCCTTGTTTCACTCCATCACTACATTGGCCTTGTTCGATTTCAGTGTGACTGAAGCAAGAGAATAATTTACACTAGTGAAAAATAAAGCTAGATCGATAAGGTGATACAGACATAAGAATATCACGACATTATATCGAATATTCAGATATAATAGATATAAATAATATCTCGAAAATAAAATCTAATCTAATCTAAAATTGAATAGATAGATATAAGTACTGTTATAGGCCCTAGTTGGTTATAGTTTCTGGCGCTAAGCAACTGTTGCTAGGCAACCATGCAAGATAATTAGGTAATACATAATAATTTGACAGCGGCAACGCTTTGCAGAAGTTATTCTCAAATGTACTGTTTTAGACTTATTCAGCGAAAATGGTGCGAATAACTGTGGAATTAGTGCGCAATAAAACTGAGCATCACGACCGTTTATTGGGTCCAGTGGAAGAAATTGCTCTACATCAAGAGAATATCGAGAAAATCGAATATCTGCAGGATTGGTGCCCCAAGCTCAAGATTCTTCTGATGCAAAGTAATCTCATAGCGAAAATAGAAAACCTAAATAAATTGAAACACCTAACGTATCTCAATTTAGCACTTAACAACATAGAGATCATAGAAAATTTAGAAAGATTGGAGTCACTAGAGAAATTAGATTTGACTCTTAATTTTATAGGGGAAATTACAAGCGTAGAGAATTTAGTAGGCAACTATAATTTGGAAAATCTATACCTAATAGGCAATCCTTGCACCGACTATGATAACTATAGAGATTTTGTTATTGGAACTCTACCACAACTTGTTTATCTTGATGGAACAGCAATAGAAAGGTCCATTCGCATCACAGCTTTGCAAAATCTCCCATTCATTAGATCTAACATCATATTCGAACAGGAGGATTACAAATACAAACGCCAAAAACAAAAATCTCGTCTCCAGGCCCAAATCAGTGAGAAATGGGAAAACGAATACCAAGACATGGATCCAGATGAAAGAAATAAAAAATTTTGGGCGGAAAAGACCGAGCATGCACCTGAAGTGCGATATGAAATGGAACGCTTTCGCCAACTTAAACTGAAAAGTTTTGAAACTGAGGATAAAAAGGAAGAAAAGCGTCACTTAAATTTTTTTGCGGCAGATGGACGTCCATTCAATATAAATCAAGCCAAACTGGTTTTTCGGTTTGATAACTCTGATCGCAACAAGTGTACTTTAGATTTAGCAGTATACAAGCACTTGGATTCCAGTCATTTAGACATAGATGTCCAACCTAACTATGTGCGTATCATTATAAAAGGAAAAATATTTCAACTCCATCTACCGGAAGAGGTTGATACCAGCAACTCTGTCGCTGAGCGTTCACAAACCACTGGCCACTTGGTAGTTACAATGCCGCTAGCGAATGCAGCTATTAAACCCGCATCGAATACAGATGGCAGCACTAAAAAGGTTGCTCTATTATATACGGAACACAAAGCTGAAGAATGCCACACTGCAAATGGGCAAACCAAACGAGAATTTTTAGAAATCGGTCCAGCTGATAACATTTTGGATTTTACTGCATTAACTCAACCGCGTTCTAAACCGAATTACATCGATCCCAGGTTTAATCTTGTAGGAAAAATACCTTCGCCTGATTTTGTAGATAATCCTGAAGTACCAGATTTGATCTAACACAATATATACTTAAAAGAATGAAAAAACAGTATAACAAATATTTAAACGCACTATTAAGTTTTTTAAATATTTCAAACCTAGTTAAAACTTTGATATTAGTTTGTATAACTTATTGAGTCATTCTTATAGATAGGTAATTGTGTGATTTTTTTAATATAAAGAACGGGTACTCGTAATCTTATTCGTGAATTAACGATATGTACCTAAATGTGCTTTATTTATTGATTTATTAATAAATTAACTATGTAATACATAAACAGTTTTAATAATACTCAAGTATATCTCATACAGGTCAGAGTACTATACACGTATTTATAAAATATTATTGCGATAAGTTAAAGTACAAAGTAAAAATGTAATAAGTATATTTTTTATCCCCACATAGACTTAAACTATACTTGATTATGTAACATTTAGAAAGGTATAACTTCTTCAGTTCTAAATTATACATGAGCAAGTCTACTTCAATGGACGTTTTTTTTCCTTAAAAATGTACGATATACATCCCTAACTACATTTTTTTAACACAACGCGCAGTTCCAAGAATATAAATTACTTATAAATAAATAGCCATGATTTATTACACTATTTTAAGAAACTTAATGAAATAAACCCCCTAAATATAAATATTTTATAACAAAACGAAGAAACTGTTCAGATCTCTACTATACTCTTCAAACATAATATCGAAATAATTTAGATTTTTAAATGCTATTTAATCAGGTCATTATGGTATGATATACAATGGCGATACGGGCCGGTGTCAGCAACTAGGCGCCTATTTTCGAGTAGTTGGTACATCATGTGACTAGTGAACAATAAATAATATTATAATCCTATTGCTATCATCAATAAGAACTAAAATCAAAATTAAAACGAGAGAGGTTTTATGTAATGTTGATACCTTCTAATTTTGAAATATACTTTTATATCGCAGTTTTTTACCCAACATTCGTGTCTTAATGCAAGTTGTTTGTAATCCCATAATCCATAGGTACGAATATGTATAAATGATCAAAATATCACATCTTATGAATTCGGCATCGAAACCATATATGAGAGGAAGCCGTCAACGTCGTGGAGCTCATTGGAGTCAAACTTGATTGAGATCATGTGACGTCCGGCCCATGCCGGCGTTAGTTGGAACGCAGCTTCCACTGGCTCTCCTGGAGCGATATTCTGAAAAAATGGCATTTCCGTGCGTCAATTAAAAAGTTGTCTGTCATTTATCATGAAAAGCATTATGCTTACTCATTGACCTAGCTTACTACATAAACACATAAGAAGTCTGTATCAGTTTCTCTATGCTTTACTAGTAATCAAAATGTTATATTATAAAAAAAATATATCAGAAAGTAACTAAATCTTAGACTATGGAAACCAATTTTCCATCTTCTAAGACCTAAATATCTACCATTTACTAGTACAATATTACTTACAATAATGTCAAAATATTTATTGCATAGATAAATAAAATAATTTCATCACAAACAATTTGCATATTATAATATTAATTTACTTTACATAGCTATATATAGTATTTGATATATTTGGCAAACAATCACTATGTATTGCGTAGATAGCATAAATTTATGTGACAAAATATTTGCATTGTTTGCCTATTCGACAAATACCTACAACAAACACTAAACACGCACTGGTCGGTATCTCGACGCACATCAAAGGAGTCAAATAGGCAAAGACGCAAGTAAACCATCCACACTATGGTCATATCATTGTTGTAACTCCTTATTTGGCTCCATGTATAGACGGCCTTATTTATCACTGCCTGTATGTTTATCTGTACGTCAAATATTTTTCCAAGTACGACAAATACCCAATAGCAAATACAAATAGCCATGTGAAGTGCCACAATAGAAGAACTAAGGTAACTCCCGCGTGCCTGCGCGGCCCAAAGTACAAAGTATGAAGCTTGACGTGACTGACTGTACCTAGTTGCAGCTTGTAAACATAATTTAAAAAATAAAGTGTTCATCGCAGTATTCTCTTGCTATATTAAAAAACCTTTGTAAACCTACAGATATTGTATCAGGTATCTCGATAATGGGAGCACCTATGATATGCTGAATATTACTGAATTTGAGTTACTCTTGTTCAAACCACCATCAACACAACAATAAACATATCTACTATTTCATGTTATTTTTAAAACACCGAACGACGACTTCAATTCTATAATGAATGGCGCGTACGACGACAACCCGCGATATGCAAAGTAAATGCACCACGAAATAGTGCGAATGTGTGTGTCCGTACATGGCGCGGCTGGCGTGTAGGTATATGTATATAGGTACTACAAGCTGCGCAGCTTCATCAGTATGGAGTTACCCTACTAGTCTTATTTTACTTCTGTTTGAATCTTTTGTCGGCATTTGAAATCATGACAAAATTTTGATATCCTAATAATTGAACACTTACTTTATCGAGTGTTAACTTCAGCTGTTCATCGAGTCCTGTTCCTTGAATGTAGAATCTGCCACGTCTTAAGGGAACGGGTAACGGATTAACGAAGCGAGCGGTCACGGTGAATGGTTGACGGCTCACTGGCTTGGCTCCTAGACTGACTTCAATGTCAGGATTTCGCACTCGGAAGTCATCTTGCGCGAAGTAATCAAACTTCGTTGCAACTATTGTTGCCAAACATGCGATATTGAATGAAGCCTGGAGAAAAACAATTTAGTTTTCAAGTTACTTTAATTTTTTAAGCCATTTATTTCCACACACATAAAATACAGAACAAGAGGAAACAAGATTATCTATAGAATATACACACATCAAAAGTGTCTAGGGATCAAGTACGTTTAAGAGTATTGCTGCAATTAGGGTTAATTATATTAACTTTTTTGTATCGCTATTGATACTTTTTAGTGAGTTTTAACATTTAAATAAGGAATATTGTTTAAAATTCGATAATAAGAAGAAAATCGATTGTCAATGTGGTTTTGTATAAAAATGAGTTATAGCGTTTTGACAAAATCATTACAATATCTGCATCGGGACCGAAACAATTTACATTATTATGGAGAGACGACATCATTTAACCCGAGAAGTGATGATGCGAGCCGTCGGAATGTTGGAAGCTGGTTCCAGGCCACGTGCTGTGGCTCTCACTCTTAACACTACACAGAGCGTCATAAGTCGCCTCTGGACGCGCTATCGCATGACGGGCAGCGTGGCCGAGCGACATGGAGGACGATCTCGCATCACGACTCGCAGACATGACCGGTATATCCAAAATACTGCTCGACGGAATCGTACCATGACCGCCATGATGTTGGTTACGAGGCTCCACAGCTCCTCAGGCTTGCTAATAAGCGATCAAACAATCCGAAATCGTTTACGTGAAGTGGGTCTGCGATCCCGAAGGCCGCTCAGAGTTCCACCTATTGCACCCTGCAATCGCAGGACCCGTTTACGATGGGCTCGCGAACACAGAAACTGGGAGGAAGAAGACTGGCGCTATGTGTGCTTTTCGGATGAATCCCGCTTCGGTATGAGACCGGATACAAGACGTACGTTTGGAGAACATCTGGACGTCATGAACGTTTGAGATATTGTCAGGAAGTTCATCCATATGGTGGGGGAACAATAATGATATGGGCCGGTATTTGGATCGGCGGAAGAACCGATCTCATTTGGATCAGGGGTAACCTCAATGCTCAAGTTTACGCAGAGAGGATTGTTTCAGATGTTATCATCCCTTTGCGAGGCCAGTTGGGTGATTCATTTCAACTAATGCATGACAACGCACGTCCACACACGGCTAGAGTCGTAACACGCATTCTTGCCGAAGCTCGTATCAACGTTCTGCCGTGGCCTGCTCAATCGCCAGACCTCAATCCAATTGAGCACGCATGGGATATGCTTCAAAGAAGAGCTGTGCCGAGTATGCATACCGTACATACTCTACAACAATATTTTGACTTGTTACAAAACACATGGGCGGCCATTCCTCAAAGTGATTTTGATAAACTCATCTTAAGCATGCCAAATCGCTGTAATTGTGTGATTCGTGTTAATGGTGGAAATACAGATTATTAATTTTCTTATCTTTACAATAAAAATGAGCAAAATCGTCATTTTCGCCATTTTTTGTCATTTAATTGACGCCGTTAATTTGAGTTTTTTCCCACAATTTGCAAAAACATCAATTTTAGTTTATTTTAATTAAATATAGGGGTAAGCGGTTAAATAAAACATAAGCATTAAAGTAAGAAGTCGTCCTGGAAGACTGGATTTGGTAAATATTGCTTAAATAATTTTTATTTCAAAAATATTCACTTGATCCCTAGACACTTTTGATGTGTGTATATTAAAAAAAACTAAATGATTTGTGTGTGGGGGACAGTCGCAGCATTCAATGAGCGACAGAAGTTGCATAGCACTGGTTTTCAGCCTGTCCCCGACTTTAGTAAACACATATACGCCTGTTCCGTAAACTTAAAGGACTAGATAATCTATTACAATATTAAGCTACTAAAATAAAACAAAAGTCTTAAAAACCAACCATTGCCAAATACTAAAATCTGAATGATTAAAAATTAAAAGTAATAATTAACATTTTATTCGTACCAAACCGAACCAATAATTTTCTGCATAATTGTAAATCCGACTAACTTATTTAAAATTAGTGAATATATCTATTGCCTATATATTTTATAATTATAATTAGATATATATTGAATATATCTATTTAAAATTAGTGAATAATAACGCATAGAAACCTAGTCCGCACACGCTAAGTGAGGCAAATTGAAGCGCTCCAAATGGGCCTACACGAGCAGGCGGGCCTTCAGTGCTCAAGGCCAACTTGCACCGCGAACAGCTCATGAATTTTAGCTAAAAATGACGAAATGTGCGGTAAATGAGTGTAAAAATACGTCAGACAAACATAAAATAGATACTAACATCACATTCCACAAGGAAGTAACGCGTTTCAACTTGTATTTTTATATAAATATTCACTAAAACCGAAAATTAACCTACTACTAAAACTAGCCTACATGAATTTGAGTTTTGCCTCACTTGTGACAGTTCGTTTGATATGAAACTATCATTTTATGCGTTATTATTCTAAGTCTATTGCCACAAAAACCAAATCTGGTCTAGAGGTGTCTCTTTCATTTTTTCTTTTGCATTATGTTATTACATAAATAATGACGGCGACACCAGAAATAAAATCTTCATACCTAATGCTTACGGTGTGTACTAATAAAGCGAACGTTATTCATAATAATCTTACCTGATCAACTAATTTCTTAAAGTATTCTTCGAACTGGACAGACATATCAACTGCTCCATTACTTCCAGATGCAACGCTCACATCAAATTCATGTTTCTTAACAGTTTCGCCCACCTTCCCTGTATATGTAACCGAGTCTACACGAAGCACGCCCTTGACTCTGTGAGCTTCAGATAAAGATCGGTTCTTAATGTTCAAACGCTGTAAGACAATTAACAAAGACCTCATAAAACTCAAGAATTAAATTAGGCATACACTTGCAGGGCAATTTTTGGTGTATCTACTAAAATGCGTGTTATTTGGTGAAATTACCGGCACATAGTATACGGTCGATTTGCTCATATTTGATTTTGTGAGCCTTCTTACGCATTCAACAGAAGAAAGTAAAGGATTTCCAGATTTTTGGTTGAAATTTGTATTTATGCAATGTAATTAAACATAAAATTGGTTTAAAAAGTTTCTTAAAACGTCATTCATTGATGATGCAATAGTAGTCATGTCGAAATGAATTTTACGACTCACAGGTTAAATGTTTTCTTCACACTAATCTACTCTGAACTAAATGGCCGATTAGGAGGTCTGGGCATTGACTGTTCCAGTGCTCCAGTGCGGCACTGTTCCACTGTTCCGGATTTAAAGCTTTGAGTAGCACTGCACCACGTGTACATCAAAATGTACATAATATATGAAATTATTCAGACCCAGGCAAATTATTCCTATATTTACGTAAACGCACAGTGTCTTACATTATAATGAAAATTTCTTTCAAATTTAGGGCTATATACACACCATAGGATGTCTAGAAAAATACTTCAAAAAATCACGGTTCAGTTTTTCATTCAAAACTGAGAGCGTACTTTATATTTAGCACATCCAAACTAATATTACAATGCGAAAATAACTCTATTACAATTTCACGCCTAAACCAAGAATACAATTTTGATGAGTTTTGGTAAAGAAATAGATGGAACCTAGGAAAAGAACATAGGCGCTTTTCGTCACAAAAACATATTTTAAAGGGAGTGAAATAGGAAATGAAAGTTTATATGGAGAACCAATAAAACTGTGAAAATTAGTATAGTACAATAGGCTACTCGAGGTACTTACTCTACTCAGACGAAGTCGCTGCTACCAGCTAGTTATAACATAGATTCGGCGTTTTGCGCTTTTCCCGTTATAGTTTGTTGGATCTTATTAGGTTAAGTCAAAATTGTATAACGTGTTCGTATACTGTATCGTATCTAGTTTGTATATTACACAATTGACTTTTCATTTATTCAATTCATTATTAAATGTGCAATTTAACTACAAAAAAGTCTTATATATTAACTTTTATTCCGTTTCACGGCAATTTAAATTGAGCGTCATTTTGGATTTCCAAAATAGTCGCAGATTCTCACAATATAAGCTTTGGTTTGTGATAAAAGCGATACAAGCATAATTTGTGTGATACCATTGTGTGCAGTTGATTGGTCTGTATGTGGTTAAATAACTTTTCCCCTGCATTTGCACACCTATGTTGTTCTCTACATGTAAAGTAATAATTTTGTTTACATTTGAGTAATTATGTTCAAGTTTCTGCTTGGGTACCAAAACTTTAATAACCTATTTTTAACATAATATGAGTACTTATTTGTTGACAAAAAATTGCTATAAATCTTTCAAAGAATAAATACTTACCACGTTGAAGCCCTGTCCGATTGTGATGTCGTCTCTCATCTCGAATTCGAAGATTATATCGTTGAAAACTTCGTTCAAGTAGTACCTAGCGAATATACTGTCCGATTTGCGAAGCGCATTCTCGACAGTGATGCGCTCCTCCCTTGAACTTTCCGGGTATTTATAAGTGGATGTTATATCCTAGAATAAATAAGTCAAACATTTATTCACTGAAGATGCCTAGAGATATGCTCGATTTTTGGCGATCATTACTATCACTTGGCGGCTTCCAAGTAATAGTAATGAGCGGCCACGCGAGCTCGCGCTAATGTGCCATGGGAAGAGTATATCATAGTCGCCTGTTTTTGGATACGCTATGTGTCGGTAACTTCAAAAAGAGACTGGGCGGCTTCGCGCCAACACGCGTGGTGGCGCGTGGTGGCGTGTGGTGGCGAGTGGTAACGTAATTCGGGTGTACATCGAAGCTTAGTCCGATTCGAGCTACCGTTCGAAAATGTCAGAGGAAGAGCATATAGCTATTTCTGCAGCCACTTTTATATTATGCAGTGGCTACAACGTACCAAATACAAGCAAAAGAAACGACACTGGTGGATGTCATCATTCAACACGCGCAGGCCGAGGTAAATTGTTAAGATTTTATTGAATTGAACACATGTAGTTTGTTTTACGTAATCATACTATAGGTTAATCATTTGAATTTCAGATATAATGTAACGGATATGTCAATACATTTTATTATAGAACCAACCCATTAACCTACCAAAGGTCAATGAACCATCCAGAACATTTTAAAACTTCTATAGAATGTCAGTAAACGATAATGAATATCTTCCAATTAAAGTTCGCAATCATATTGCTAAAACTGATACGAACATGAGAACGCGAACCCATACCTACTCAAGAAAAATTTACCTCTCGATCCATTTTTCCAATAGCTTTCGTTGATATAGCCTGCCCGATGACAGTAGTGTTGCGTCCCAACAATTTCAATGGTTGAATTTCGCCATCATATTTCCAGAGAACCTGAAATTTTTATATTTAATCCAAGTGTTTATTACAAATTCGTTTTGGATAAGTTCTGATATAATTTTATTAAATTGTCTTTTTACCTTATCAGCATTAACTTCAGCTATAACATAAGCACAGTCATAAGGCCTCTCCATTTCTCCTTCATGAACGGCTTTTACAGAAGCAGGACCACATCGAAACATGTCTTCGGATGTCTCTTGAGGTGTCGCATCAATAACCTGCCAGCCACCGTACCCAGCACCAAGATCTGGACGATCCATCCACACCTTGAATTCAAAATAGCTGTTATTGTTGATTGGCGTATCCCTTTCTTGTAACTTTATAATATTCATAAGTAAAATAAAAAATCATATAATATACAAAGTATTTATTTAAATGGTAAATTTTATTAATTTTACAAGAAAAATCATTTTATTAAATTTAATCAACTTCTACTGTCCCGATTTTTTCTTCGCATACAATGAAATCATACTTATAAGAAACTGAGTCTATTATCAATAACAAAAATTATCAATTTTATTAATTTTATATGAAAGATATTTTATTAAATCAGGCCAACTTCGGCGGTGCCGACTTTTTCCATCCAATACAATGAAATGATCCCTTCATGAAACCGAGTCCATTAGCTCTAAAAAAATTTTGATCAATTTTATTCATTTTTATGGACAACTCACTCTTGACCAAAAAATTAAATCAAAGACCTAATGATTCCTAAAACAGTTTCCTTGTATCTTCTATGGTTTCGGATTTGTCCATACTGTCTAATTTAAAAAAAACTATACATTCATATTACAATCTGATACCTCAACATAAACTCGATTTCTCAAGACTATGATCATGTTAGTTGACACGTTATTGCTTATCATCCATCTATAAATAACCTACAAATAATTTAATTAATCAGTACAGCGTACTAAAAAAACCGACCTCAAAATTCGTGGACTGATTTTTACCGAATTTTATTGAAATCGGTTACCAGAAATTGCCAAAAAAAGAATCATCAAAGTCGGTTCACAAATGCCGGCCGGATTTATCTCGTAACATACATACAAAAAAAAACATTCGAATTGAGAACTCCTACTTTTTTGAAGTCGGTTAAAAAAGCAACATTTATTTGTAGTTTTATTTTATACATTTATTTTACTAAAGGTTGTATACACATAATAGTGTATCATCACTTATTTATTATGTCAAACGTAGTATTTTACATTTGACATAAGTAGTTTATCTTTGTAATTTGTTGAATAGGTAGTATTCATTTTCTATGTATTTTTTTATTGCGAACCCCACTTCCCCCTTGATTAATTTAAAGGTTTGAAGCAAGAAATGCCTTTAAGGGATAAGGTCACTTTTGTATGCTTTTTGTGGTACAATGAAGTGTTTACATACATATAAATATTGTCGTATTGTCGCATCTGATCTACGAACGCATTATGCCAAGTAACCACTAATTACGTTACTTACTTCGTTCCAGACATGATAGTTCCAAATGGAGTCTCTGGTAAATTCATTCAGGATATCACCGTTTTCGTCCACGATGACGTCTATGGTCATGCTGCCCTGACTGTCATGCGCGGCGTTATAGCAAGTAACAGGTCGACATGGGATACCAAGAGTGCGGCATACTGAAAAATTATTGAAACGTTGTAGTACATAAGAGAATGTCCCTTTGTGACTTTTTGACATTTACGACACAGAGACGATTATGTTCTGTTTTGTATATTATTACAAAAAATATCCTAACGCACAATTTGTCACTAGTCCGCAATACAATGCTGCGTTGGATGGAGTAAATTTGTCATTCCTTGGGTATCCCAGGCTGGAAGGCGTTAACGGGACGACCTTAATGGGTTTAAGGAAGGAGTGATGGGAAATGGCCAAAGACAGAGATTTATGGAAGATTTTGGGGAACATCTTTTGTGGAAAACAATTAGCAAGCAAAAAAAACAAAAGCCGTTAAAACCAAACACTAAGGTCTGGAGTAGGCACATAGAGAAATTAGTAAGTTCTGCTGACTCGTTCCGTAGCTGAGTGTTAGGTTTTTTTTATAATACCAAGTGACGAGATGATAAAGTCGTGCACCTGGTGGCAAGCGACACGCCTATCCATAATAGTTGTAGTGCCACTCCGAACTTTAAATCGCAGAGATCTTAGGGCCACTGTCACTGCGTCCGTAACCCTGAGACAAGTTAACAAGTCCCATGTGCCTGTAATTTCACCAGCATCCTTACCTTTTCTAACCGGAATGCAGTAATGCTCACAATACTATTTGGTGGCCGAAATAGGTAAGGTGGCACTACTTCACTGGACGCTCTCTCACACTCTTTCACAAGGAGCTTTACTGCTACTAAAATCTAATGTCTAATGTTTATTTATTATTTATACATTTGTAGTCTAAAAAACATTATTTAATAAATAGCTACGTGTATGTAATGTACCCATTGACTAAGTCAATGAATGTACCCAATTTTTTATCACTTTTTATGTCTTTGATGTGCAGTAACTTTAACGCTCCAAAGATTATATCAAAAATGTAAACAATTTGTATATTAGGTGAAAATGTCACTGGTACAAGTCGTCCAGCCGGAACAATGGATTTTTTTCTTTTAGTTTATTCAAACTTTTTGTGTGAATTATAACAACAAATGAGTAGAGTACTTTCACAAAAAAAATGTTAATAAATATTGCTAAAAAAATTGTCACTGCAAGAATCGTCGTCACGAATTTTCTATTAATAAATAATTTTTTTTGATCTGTTTTTCGACTTTATTATCACTATCATTATTAAGTCAAACGAATATTAAATAACTCCATTATATTCCAACTTACGTGTGGTTAAAACTCCAGCGTAGACCCAGCACTGCGCGTATTTAACAGGTCTCTTTCTGCTGTAATAGCTCTGAATTATCGCACTAGAACCAACCCACTTTGTTGGATGGGTGCCTCCACTATAGTCGTCTTCATCTTTACCCCAGTTGCCAACTAACATACCATTATCGTCCTGCACATTGCATGCGGCCGAAAGTGTTCGAGCTGTTTTAACCGGGTCACTCCTATTGCGACCTCTCATCTGGAATATTAAACGCATTGAACAGTTTTATTTTCGTAATACTTCCGTTACGTCACGTCTTAAAATACTATATTGTACCTCTGTTATACTAACCTTTCCTACCTCCGTGATGACATAAAATGCACAGTCCAGGACATCTTTCTCATACTGGGCATAACTCCACGGCACTGGTTTTATCCGATTATACACACCTCTGAATAAAAGCCCGCCGTCATTTTCAACATATTCTTCACGTTGATTGTAACCTTTTATAACGAGTTTTGTATTATTGTAGATTTTTCGTAGTGTGTAATAAAAATTTGTAGCTTAAAAACATTAAGTCATCGCGGAAATGCTCACCCGGCAAGTATACGGTATCGTTCAGACACCAAGGATTGAATATGATGTAGATTGGTAGCTGGTGTGTATAGCTAAGTGATCCTCCAGTGCCAAGCCTTGTGTCGACATCTACTTTCCATGGGGCAACGATGCAGCTCGCGGAAGGAGTGACTGATACTGTCATACGAGTATCCCTCTGACTTTCGTAAACTGCGCTCCATGCTCCAACAGATTCTGAACCTTTCTCCAACAAAGGTACAGCCGCAGTCGTGGCATCAGATGGCCCACGCCTATTTGCATCTGTTTAATAATAGCACATAGATTATTTCCGTTGTTCCCAAAATATGTATGACGGCCATAGTAGTAGCACATAATATGACCTTCGATTCGCATTTTTTGTTTATTGGAAAAATATTGACCTGTCAAATCTATTGCTATTTATTTCGATGAAAAAGTTTGTTTGATGAAAACCAATACTTACTGATAAGACACTCTTAATACATTGTGTTTTTTGCATAGAAAGCTTTTAAATTGTGTACTTATACAAGTATTAATTATACCTGCGACGTAGAAAATGAATGACACGGCATCTCTGGTTGGATCGTAAGGTCTGTTCAATAGAAGATCCATTTTAAAGGACTGTCCTCGACGAACGACGAGACTTGCGTTGGCTTTCCTTCTCATCAAATGGTAGTTGCTAGTGTGATGGTCTTCCCCATTCTTATCAATGCAAAAATCTATTCCCTGAACTGCCAAAACACCTTGTCTACTTCCGTAGATGACATCTGTAACATGAATGCCGAGGTTAAACAAATAGTACCGGTAGATTGATTATGGCAAAGGTTAAGGTCAATTGATACAGTTAGGAATCTCAAATGCGTTAATATATATAAGTACCAATCTTAAATTAGATGTGTATGAATCAAGAATGAACAAAAAATGTACATAAACACCCTTTGAAAATAGGATTCGTGCACCTATAGGTAAGTCATAACATTATAACGGTCATAAACTTATTCTACTATTAGGTGCTAATTATATGTTTTTGAACGTCGATATATATATACAAACAATAGGTTAGTAACAGTAGATATCTATATACTTCAAAAGTATAACAACGTACATAATATAATTCCTTTATAATTCGATAAAAATTCATAATCGCCAAAAAGCCCGCGCACTCAAACTACTTACCCCAATCTCTATACTATTATTTTACTATCCATGTTTTTAAAGCAATTAAATTAAATCGAAAATATTTTCCATCACCTTATACAAACTAATTTCGTAAAAATATTTTTACATATGCAATAGAGAATTTTCCGTCCTTCGGGAGAGGCTAAGGCGTCTAATTGGCCATACTGATTGTGATTTTACTTCGGCAGTTTGGATTAGCTCTGGACCTTTTGGAGGAAAAAGTATCGTTTTTATTTTGACTTTCAATTATTTTGTGAAATCTAGTTTAAAGTGGAATAGGATAGTGCTATTGTGCCTTAATCGAAGATTAAAACGCGAAACTATACGAATCTTGAACTAAAATACCCGTATCGGCCCGTTTTAAGGAATCACGAGTCAATCCAAGCACGCCGCCTCAAATTGCCTATCCTCTTTGTGGCGGCCATATTTACAGAAACATAATTAAACGAAGACATGGCTCAAAGGACTTGTATCCAAGACAAAATTCGGTAGTTTAATTTTCTGACATTTTTCGCGGGAAATCGATAAAACTTCACGGTGGCCATTTTGAAACTTCTTCAAAAAACAAGAGAAGGGTGAGCATTCAATTGTTTTGTGTTTTTATACACTTTCTTGAAACCCAGTATGGTAAACACATAACAGCATTATTACAAAAATCCAAATAGTATTTATTTCTTTTTTTTTAATAGATCTTTTACAACTTCATTAATTAAATCTTTTTAGGAATCGATAGTTTCTTACCTGGATTAAAAGGAATTATAACGTACTTCTTTTTATTCCCAAAATAATATCTCCACAAATCATTAAAGTAATTCATTTTACAATATTTCCAACTTGTCCAAAAATCCGATTAAGACATCTGTTTATCACAGCACAAGTATCACAAATTAAATACAGTAGTGATGCTGTTACGAGCCTGGTGTTTGAATTTAGTTTTAACAGATTGCTAATTATTTAAGCAAACGTGCGTATCTTGTTGTATTCCGCAATGGACTGCGTTTGTTATATTATGTCGAGGCATTCATATAACTCCTACAAACACATTGATGATGTCATGTCAACATCGCCAAAGGAGCAAAAGCTCCCGATACTAAGAAACCGACCGGATCATTGACGAAACATTAGTCTACTATACTCTAAAACATTACTCATTCGAAATCTGTCGAATGAATAAAACAGGCTCAATGACATCATTCTTGTGAAGAGATATATACGACATAACAAATAAGCCGCCGCAAAGGCTGGACTAGAACAATAAATAAATTAACTTTATTATTGCAACCGTAAATACGTATATATCGTCTAGAATGACAATGCTATTAAATCTAGATGTCAATTATAGGAAACTTGTGAGTAATATGTAAGTACCATAACGCCTGTCTCCACCTACTACGCTCCTGATAAACCTCCTACGCCTCCTCCACTCCCATCAGTCTCTTCATACATTCCCGTTTATTTCTGTCACTCTTAAACAGACCTTTTAAGGTCATTCCTAATCTGATCGAGGTACATACGTTAAGGTCTACCTCTCTCCGCGTCTCCGTCCACAATTGCTCTTATAAATCATCTTTCATACTACAACACTCTCTTACTTACATTCAGTTCTTTAAGACCGCACATAGTGCGCAAAGCGCTCATTTCTACAGCATTATTCACCGTACTTTTATGCTTTTTCTGCCACATCCTACACTGACTACCATAAATTAGGGTTGGGACCAGCGCGCGCTCGATGAACGCCTTTCTTGAGACGTTTTGGCTTTCCATTGAACGTACGTCACATGCTGATGCCAAAGTTGTCACAAAACTTTTACACAATTACAAATTTTAGATTTAAACGAAACATATTCAGAATATTTATTCACCAAGACAACACAGTACATTGATTGTAGGTAAGTCAAATTAGAAGAAATACAAACGAACTTAAATTTTACAGGTATAAAATACAGATTGTTTATTACCATGTTATTTAAAAAAATGAATATTTATTCATATTTGAATCCATAAATTCTATGATTTTATAAAAAGCGTGATTTACAAACTAAATTCTTAGGTTTTGTAACAGAATCTACAGTTTGAAGCTATTCGTATTTGTTTAGAATTATTGTTACTTTAACTACTTCGGAATTAATTACCAGTGTGGGTGATCATCTCGAGTAAACAGGGTTGGATCCTCACCTTGAAATTAAGCGTTTTATAGTTGTAACCCACACACGCTATGTATAGACAAATGTGAGTAGGTGACTCTACAATACCGCTCATGTTAGGTCATATTGATTAAGGATACAATGAATTGATGCATTGGTAACTAAGATATACAATTGAAGGTATAGTATAATTTACACATGCATGCTCTCACGTACTTTGTGGATAAATAATTGTTATAAAACCATCAAAATCCTTATCGAAATAGTATCTTTCATTATTTAATAGCGTTCGAAAAAGTTAGAAAGTGTTGTTTGTGTGACTTGTATATTATTATTTTTTTTTTCTCTTTAGATTTATATTATTCAGTTATTAAAAGTCAGCTGTATAAAATTTAATATAATCTTAATGACGTGCTCGTAAAACATTTCTGACAGAAATAGGTACATTTAGGTACGAAATGAGAACTCTGCAATAAAAACGTAATGGTTGATTCAATGACGTTCGAACAACACACGAAATTGCTGTGTGCAACTTGGTGTACTATTCTTATCTCCGTATTACTAAACTACTTTTCTTAACTTCTCTTTTTTTTATTGACCAAAATCAGAAAAAAATACTTATTTACTAAAATTACAAGCTTCGCTTAAAAAAACCTGTCCGGCTTTATTCGCGGCGAAGGATTTCACTCTAATTTAACCAAAAATATAATACAATGGAGCAAACATTTTTAAAACTAACTTAATTACATTTAGACAGGTACAACAACATGCTTATTTACATATGCGTATAATATCAATTTATAAAATAAAGTTTATATCTTCAATTTTCAAAAAATGTTTCTTAATGTATGATTTATACTGTTTGTTGTTTTGATATTTTGATTATTTTGATTCTTGATTTTGTGCATCCCGTAAATCAACCGTAAGCAAAATAAACAAAAGAAAAATTCAGGTAAACTAATTCTCTCAAGGTGTGCGTATACCGTGTCTAAAATAATTAATACCACCCATAACAAACCGATTTGAAAATTGATTCTCTATAGTCTATTTTTGTCGAGCATTTCAATTTCACGGATATCTTAACTCAGAGAATATTACATCACCCTATGCTAAAAAAACGCTTCAAATATCGGTCAAAAGCAAGCGAAATTGATTGATGATTAATAAAGGAAAATTCCTTTGAAAGACTAAGTAATGACTGAAATATCATTTCCTATAACATTTATCTCTATTAACAACTAAATTCATACGTTTTACTTACGTCAAAATACTATTTAGGAATGCTTACTAGAATGCGATATGGCATAAGTTTTGCTTTATATTTCCGGTTTGTTTACCTTATTTGCATAGGTTTCGTCATTAAATAATAATATGTTGTTATTGGAAATATTTGCGTATTTTAGTAAATGAAATTTACACACTAATTTCAATTATTATTAATTTAAACATTAATTATTCATAATTCTGTTTATACAAATATGATATACAAACACGTTGGAAGGACTTTAAGATACTATGTAGTTTAAGAGAATTATGAGTTGTTTTATTATGACATACCCACGTTCGATGTCACATACAATATACACAGAATACATAAAATTATTATTTAAGCGTCATACGCTGTGAGTACACTTACATATTACAAAGTATTACACAAAAGTTGTACTACTGACAGAGAGTTATTATTCACTACTTACTGTAAATTATATTGCGTGCGTTTTGGTAATAAATCATGTTTCATTGATATTATATTATGTGTTAGGTTCCTCAAATTAATAAATGTTGCATAAAAACTTATATTTTCATTCAATGTTGACAAGTGACTTATCCATGAATGGGCCATGTAAGGCGCGGACACCGGTTCGCCTTGAACATGGCGATAGCAGAGACAGCCTCCGTACATGTCAAGTTAAATATTCCTAGAAACTAGACTGGTACATAGGACTAAATCCGGAATCGAATGACCAAAAAAACTGATAAGCTTTCGTCTTTATAAATGCACTCAACTGTCTATATTCTCTAAAACAAAATGTTAAACGTTAGTCTAAATACGGTGTTATACATATAGAATCACATTTACAACTTAAATATTCCCCGAAACTATACAAGTACTTAAATGGGACAAAATGCGGAATTGAATGACCAACAACACTAAAAGCTATTGTCTTTATAAATACACTCATCTGTCTATGTTCTCTAAAACAAAATGTTAAACGTTTGTCCAGCTACGGTGTTATAGATATAAGATCACATTCACAAGTTAAATATTCCTCGATCATAGACAGGTACTTAAATAGAAATAAACCCGGAATTGAATGACCAAGAAAACCGAAAAGCTTTGCTTTTAAAAATTTTTTTTGTCTTTAAAAATGTGTCTATGTTCTCTAAAACAAAATGTTAAACGTTAGTCCAGCTACGATGATAGACAGGTACTCTAATAGGAC